GCCAGGAAGAACCACTGAGGAAGCATGGAGCCAGTGAGGGAAGATGTTGGTGTGAACAAACTGCTTTATCAGAAGGGATGAAATGGATAATTGCCTTAGGCGTAGATCATACAACGAAAGCCTCTCCACTTTTTCATAAACATTGTTGATGCGCTCAGAACAAGAGAGGGAATGATTAAGAATAGCACCCCCGACTGCGGGGTGTATAGTTAATGAATAGCGGCTGGTACATCTCAGAATACGATTTATCTCTATGGAGAACGAATAAAACATTAACACATGTAGATAGGTTTGTAGAAAGGTTGTGTGCAGAAAACCACTCGTTAAGTTGTGAGATAGGAAGCTGGATAATGGAGTGAACAGTGTTGCTGGGATAAGGTAAGCCAAAACTAACGTCATCAGCACATTTTATCAGAAAGCCGTCTTTACAAATAGGCATGGAAGCTAAGTAAGTGGAAAAGAAGAAAGAAGACAAAATGGCTCCTTGAAAAACCCCTGATTCGTAAGCTAAGGCTAAGGAGAATTTATTTCCGTCTCGTGTAAACCGTTTTTTCTACAAGGAAAGTTGTCATTTAACAGGGAACTGGTACACGGAGGGACTCCATGGTTTGCCAGAATAGACAGAAGCTGAACTCCGAATAAATCACTGTAGTCTAAAAGGTACATTCACAGTTTTGGTATCCAAAAAAAATATGTTAGATGTGATTTGAAGAGCTCGCTGCGAGGAATAAAATAGTACGTTGTATGTCTATAAGGATGCTATAGTTTCGCCGCTATGGGCAAGAGATATGGCAAACGCTTCCGGCACACAGTATAAAAAAAGTAACGTGAACTTAACTTGATTTGAAAGAGCTCAATAAGCGAAATAAACTGATATCCCACTTGTTTACATAGGTGCTTCCGTCACTGCACCACAAACGAATGATGTGCAAAACGTGATATTTTTCGTGCTTTCGGACTTACCTGGGTCACCCGAATTGTTTTGGAAATCAATGATATCTCGTCAGGGACAAAGCATATAGAGACGAGTAGTATGCAGGTGCATCCGAAGTTCTGGTACACATAATACACAAAACCATTAATTAAGAATTACACATCATTACCGTCGATTTCTGCGTAGCTTGAATTAAGCGTATACGCACACTACCTCCCTCCGATCCGTGCGCGCGCATTCATATCTTTGCGTGGACTGCAGATAGCAGTAGGACAGCCTGGTTGACGTGGTTGATGCAATTAATCAGTATTGCACCAGAGCTAATGATCTGCAGTTTTTAGTGACTGTCTTTCTGCAGCAGTAAAAGCTAAGATTTCGACTTAAGCCGTCTGAGAATCTGACTATTTGGGGTTCCAGAACTCCTGGTGCCCTTTCATATCTATGGTTACCGCAGATATTTTCGCTAAATCGTGACCGTCAATTTTTGTTCCTGCAAGCCCCCAGTTGTCCAAAATATCAAACAATCTCATATTATCACTGCTCCGTACTACTTTCTCTCGAAGGGAGTGTTAAATATGTAATAGGTCTTCTTGATTGGAACCTGTCTATCTGTAGGACATTAGGATAGTATGTGTCTCCATATATGTATGGCCACAGGATACCTTAGGCTGGAAACGTTTACAGGGCTTTGGAGAAAAGTTTTCACAACAGTTCCATATATATATATATATATATATATGGAACTGTTTAGTCAATCATATACCTTTTTTATTAAATATAAATATGTATAGGCTAATAATTTGACGGAAGATTATCATTGGACCGAGGCATTTAACTGAATTCACGTGACTAAACACATCGATTATGGTTCTTAGATTGTCGTCCGATATGCACGCATATATTTTCATCGTCTGGTACCAATAAAGATTCGTATGGAGTCAGCAACCGAAAAATACGAAAATAGTGATGAAAAACAGCTAGAAAGGAAAGTGAAGCACTATGCCAACGTTTTCTATCGTAGTCGATGGGGTATTTGGATGGATTTTGCTGAGACCACTACTTTACACGGTCCAATTCATATTACAGCTACGAAGGGCAAACTCAGGATATATTACACCATAGTGGTAACATTCATGTCTGCCATGTTTATCGCGCATGCGAGTTATCTATTCATGCAATACTTGAGTTTTCCAGTTCTCACAGAAATAAAGTACGGCAATATTGACTTCACGTATCCGGATGTGACCATTTGTCCCAACGCTCCTTTCACTGATGCGGATTTTCCCGCGGATCCCCGATTAGCAGCATCTCTGAATTCGTCCGAGAGGTTTTGGATGGAGAAAAGAGGTTCCATCGCAGGTTCGCCTCGGTTGCATCAAAAACGTAGCATGCTTTCCACATTTTATCGATGGTCTCAACTGGTCGGGAAGCGTCCACATCAATATGTATTAGAATGCCAGGTAAGTAAGATGTACAAGGACCGCGAAAACGAACTAGCTCATTTCGTACAATTTAATCTAGTGTTTCTGGGTTGTTTCTTTTCTCTCTTTTTTTCAGGTGCTGGGTACCAGTTTTCCTGTCGGGTATCTAGTGAGGGGGTGGGGTGGGGTGGGCAATGAGCAGGGACTAGAGAAACGGAAATCGTATACATGAAACTTATTTCCGCCCACCTTCACCGGAGCATTTTTCCCTTTCCGTAGTGCTACCAAACGTGTATATATATCACACTTTTTTGAGGACAGACTGTGTGCCAAACAAATCATGGTATAATAATCTTTATAAAAAAGAGAATGTTCCATGATTGGCTTGTGGGCTGAGTACTGCCAGGTTGCCCAGGCCAGGCCAGGTGAATTTTCTTGAGGAATCCACAACCGGAGCCTTCGGCTAGCCAAAGCCTGACCCGCAAGGCAGCGGGGCGGTGCGTGAAATCCGCTACCAAACGTGCAAATGAATGGCAGTCTTCGTCTTATCGTTCCCTGATTTGAAACCTTCCAATTAGTTCAACCAGTTTGAATCAGGCGTGAATTCACAAACCCCTGTGGCTTTGTTGTTCCAGTTTAANTAATCATTCATCAATAATGCCGTTTCATGCGGTTGTTTTGATTGCTTACCCGTTTGAAAGAAGGAGTGTTGGGAAGATTTTGATGTTGAAAGCAATGCCTAGGGGAAAATGTAAAATATGTATGTATATGTAGTTTCAAACACTTCTAACGCAAGACTGTGTGCCAAACAAATCCCAGTACAATAATCTTTATAAAAAAAGGTACATGATTTGCTAAAGGACACGATACTACCAGGTTGCCCATGTCAAAGCAGATAAATTTTCTTAGGGATTTCACAATCGGAGCCTTCAGCTAGACAAAGCCTGACCCACACGGCAGCTGAGTGGTGCGTGAAAACCATAGCTTATCGGAGGTCGGTGTCCAGTAAAGCGGATCATAGGTGCTCGATATCCAATGGAGCTGGTAACCAATGCCACAACCGGGAACGTTTGGGTGAGTGTGGTTCGTACACCTTTTCTTGAGAAATAGAGAATTTATGTAGACCAAGGTTGCAAGGTCATTGACTTGAACGTCACAGTTTATCGCACTTAGCTGTTATACTGATTAGTAAGAAATCGAACAACGGCCAAACATGCCTTTATATGGTTTCAGACGCGAAACTCGCCAAGCCTATCACGAAGATACATTGTCAGTGCCAAACAAAATACCGGTCAGCCTGTCCATTTCCAGTACCATTTATTCACCCTTTTTTTCAGGTGAACAAACTCGAATGCTTGGCCAATTTTATGATTACCGAACATCCTACCTACTACCGTTGTTTCACCTTGCGCACTCGTATCAATCCGCCGTTACCTGCCGGTCCGACCAATGGAATCCGGTTGATTTTGCATCGAGGACGGGCGTATGCACGTCCCCTTCTGTCCGTAGTCGAGGAAGAGCCCGCGTTGTTACAATCGGTAGACTCGTGGGATACACCATTTCAGAAGGATGGATTTTTCATCACTTTTCATGAGAGAAATACTTTTCCCAGTTTTCCAGTCCAGGTAAACAACTTGTGATTGCGTGTTCCGGTTTCTAGCACACTTCTTTTCTGACGGTCTGTTAAACGATGATGCTTATTGTTGTTTATAGTATCGTGTTGGGATTAGCCCAATCGGTTGTTCAGAGGCATCAGGCCCGCTTGATGGTCTTGGTTGTGGGTTACAATGATTGGGAGATCGATAATTCCCCACACTTTTTGAGTGCATTTAAGCGCGATGGATATGTGTGAATTAACGGTCTCTCAATGAGTGAAACCCATATTCAAGACCACCAAGAGTTCCTGGTGTCTCTGACCAGTCGATTGGGCTAATCCAAACTTGACAACCTAAATTGATTGAGCCGTTCACACAAGGTTATGACAGTCGACCATGTAAATCCGANTTTGAAATCCCAACCCGAAGGTCCGCGGTTCGAGTTCTAACTGGGGAACAAAAGGTACGCACTACTGACGAGTCCCAAACAGGAAGAAACAGCTATCCAGTGCTCTTTATGGGTCATCACAAATATATCCATCGAGTTTAAATGCAATCAACCAGTGCGGTATCAACGATCTCTAAAGAATTGAAAACTACACTCAAAACCCTGGTGCCCCTGAACAATTGAAATGGGCTAATTCAGACCTGATACTCTTGTCTGTTGTTGTCTGTTGCTGTTGGAATAATTACTGAATTCATGCCCCTCAAGTAAATTAAGCTTGTTTTTATTGAATGTTTCAAAGAGAAATGAGCTCTAAAATACGTGTCATCAGGTTGCGGTGCCTAAGTTGTGAACACTAGTACTCAATCTTTGTAAATCATTCAAAACAGAGTTTAATTATCCCCAACACTGTATCTGTAGCTGACTGTGACGGTGAAAATCAATGTTGTTTGCTTTGACCGTGCTCNNNCATTATACTACACAAATTTACTAAGCCCCTAAGGGGATAAAAAAGCAGATGCCAGCCCCATGTCCAGTCCGGTTAACCGTATTCGGTACATCGAAAATACTATTTTTGTTCCCATCAAGTACTATGGACTGGTTACGAAATCGAATGCGATGGTTTTATAGTATGCTTCATAGCAAAAACCGGTAAACAGTTTAAAAGCCGCACGACTAGGCGTCTGCCAGAACGCATCCGTGCGCATCATCCTGCTTGGCTGAAA